AAATAGGGAGTTTATACAATCACTAGTAGTTTATCAGTTTCACTTCATTTTCATAGAGTTTAATTGTGTAATTGTTAAAGATATTTGTTTTATTTGTGCAGACATTGTGGCCTCATTGGACCCCAGCTCACCCCTGCAGGAGGAGAGTCAAGTCATCAACATTTGTCCCCCTCCAAGCAAGAAAACGTATGTTTTCTCTGGAACTCAATCTGTTTCAAGTTTCCAATGATGGTTTTGAGTCACATTCAGTAGAAATGTTGGGTTGAAATCTTTTAAAACTTGAATAAAATTAAACAAATTAGGGAAGGACAGTACTGTATATGAATGGTCTGCCACCTGACAAATGTTAAAATGTTTTTTTTTTTGTTTTTTTTGCATGCTTTTCAGTTTTAACTTGGATTTTCAGCATGATTACATGATTAAATAGTCATTATGACACGTTTAAAAGCATCAGCAGCACAACTTTTCTATCTATTTATTTATTGAGTTAAAGCTCTAGCTTGGTTGTTTTGTGTCTGAGATTCATTTCCAGTTAGATTTGCTTTTTGTCCTCTGCCTGAGAATCAAGTAATACCAGTTACTGGTGACATCAGGACAGTTCATCCAGTCTGTTAGAAAAAGGTTGTATATGCTATCTTTGTTATCAGTAGGACATCTAGGGCTCCCACATAGTGATGAAAAGCATAGAACTTGATTTGTGGGAAATATTTATATTTCTTAGACTTATTTCCCTATCCTCGTGCCTGAATGTTATGTTCTTCCTTTTTTGTCCTTTTATTCCTTCCTTTCTTCCATTTTTTTTTTCCTTTTCTTTTCCAGCTTTTATTGTCATTACACACATAAGTACAGAGCAACGAAATGAACTCACTGCATTTAACCCATCCCCTTGGGGAGCAGTGGGCTGCCATTGTGTGGCACCCGTGGAGCAGAGTCTTTGCTCAGGGAGCCAGAGTGGCAGTCTGTGGGAGTGGGGCATGAACTTACAACTCAACCGTGATCCAAGTGCAATGCCCCAACCACTAGGCCACCATTCCCCTAATCCACCTGTTGTTTTAACCTCTGTTGTTCTACAGTTTCTTTCATCCATTCTCATCTCTCTCTCTCTTTCAGGTGTTTACCAGAAGACTTAGAAATGGATGCCGGAGCAGATTCTACCACAAACTGTGTTCAGTCTGATGGTGGGTCCTTTTTATCTTTCATGCACAAACTTTAAATACACAAGTATGTCGGAAACAAAAAAAATTTTAATTGTGATTACAGGGTTATTGAAATAAAGTCTAATAATTTAACTGGTAACTGGAGTATAGAGTAGGGGTGTAAATAAT